TGAATGAATGAATGAATGAATGAATGAATGAATGAATGAATGAATGACAAGCCTTGTTTATTTTCAAACCTACCTGGCTCAGTGCTACAGTACACACATGTATTAAAGCAGCTGACATGATGACTTTTTGCGTGCTTTTCCAGGCACAGGAGTTTTTCTGTTAATTTGCCGCACAAGGTCGTAAAAGATCTGTAGATAAAGTTATATATATTCAATATTTTCCAAGGAGTTTAGCTATTTTAGATGTTTAAAAAGTGATAAACCTGAAAATATAAATGCCACTATAGGTATCTGGTAATGCCTCAAGCAGCCGACTTTTAATCCATCTAAATGCAAAATGTTTAGGAAAACAAGTAAACAAGTGTTTTCTTCATGGAAGTAGTTTTACTAAATGCTTTGCGTGCCATAGAAGTAGATTTCTACCAAGGGCAATAATAGGCAAGTCTCAGGCTGCAAACCTAACACTTTCTAGAGTAGGACCCAAAAAATACAGGAAAATTATCCCCCACAAAACATGATCAAGATTGCATGGTGAACCAAGGAAATGCATATCTTTCTAGTGAGAAAAAAATTCTATAATATGCCCAAGTTATTCTTAAATGCGCTATGCATTTGCATCTGGGAAGCAGTTCTCTACTACCTTAAACACAAGAACATTGTTATGCAAGTGATACAACCTTCTAAAGAAAAACCCACACAAGTTAAATATCAGAGGTTGTTCTCTACCTGGAAGTAAAACAGCTACAATTTAAACACAGAGGAAAGAAAAGACAGGGAGCTAATAAGGGAGGCTCCAGATAGTCTCACAGCCACTGATTAACAGCCTGGAAAGGTAAGACTTAAAATATTTACAAGATTTTTCAGATTGATAGAGAAAGGGAAAGAGAGAGAGGGAAGGAGAGATCGAACTTCAGTCAACCTTTGGTACTTATAATTCAGCTTTACCTCTCTGTCTGTCTTAAATGCTTTTTATTCTCCACTGAATCGAGCAGTTTTCAGAGGAGGAAGCACTCCTCCAATATTCCTTGTCCACCGCTCACCTCGCTCAGCAATTTCCCTCCTTGCTGCCTGTCATTCAACTTCTTGCTTTCTTTTCCACCCTAAGCCCTCCCTCCTTGCTATTTCACTTTCCAGCAGTTCCCTACTGGCCCCTTGTTCTTGATTTCCCACCTCATCTACCCTTGAGAACCCTTCTGTTCACCCCATTTTCTCTCTAGCACAGGGATTTCCCCCACATCCACAAGGGCTGACTAAAGCAACAGAAAAACAGAGCACTCCCCTCACTGGATCACAACCTATCCAGACCCTTTTAGAGAATCTAACTTCCTATTTCCCCCTCTCCTCGTTCATTCGTTTAGTCATGCCCGACCCTTCGTGACCCCATGGACCGGAGCACGCCAGGCTCTCCTATCTTCCACTGCCTCCCGGAGTTGGGTCAAATTCATTCTGGTAGCTTCAATGACATTGTCCAACCATCTCATCCTCTGTTGTCCCCGTCTCTTCTTGCCTTCACACTTTCCTAACATCAAGGTCTTTTCCAAGGAGTCTTCTCTTCTCATGAGATAATCAAAGTATTGGAGCCTCAGCTTCAGGATCTGTCCTTCCAGTGAGCACTCAGGGTTGATTTCCTTTAGAATGGTAATATTTGTTCTCCTTGCAGTCCAGGGGACTCTCAAGAGCCTCCTCCAGCACCACAATTCAAAAGCATCAATTCTTCGGCGGTCAGCTTTCTTTATGGTCCAGCTCTCACTTCCATACATCACGACAGGAAAAACCATAGCTTTGACTATGCGGACTTTTGTTGGCAAGGTGATGTCTCTGCTTTTTAGGATGCTGTCAAGGTTTGTCATCGCTTTCCTCCCAAGAAGCAGGCGTCTTTTAATTTCGGGGCTGCTGTCTCCATCTGCAGTGATTATGGAGCCCAAGAAAGTAAAATCTGTCACTGCCTCCATATCTTCCCCTTCTATTTCCCAG